ACTGGAGAGAAACCGTTCACTTGTGATCAGTGCGGGAAGAGTTTCTCACGATCATCAAGCCTTAAGCATCACATGAACATCCACACTGGAGAGAAACTGCACACATGTGATCAGTGCGGGAAGAGTTTCTCACGATCATCAAGCCTTAAGCATCACATGAACATCCACACTGGAGAGAAACCATTCACTTGTGATCAGTGCGGGAAGAGTTTCTCACACTCATCAAGCCTTAAGCATCACATGAACATCCACACTGGAGAGAAACTGCACACATGTGATCAGTGCGGGAAGAGTTTCTCACGATCATCAAGCCTTAAGCATCACATGAACATCCACACTGGAGAGAAACCATTCACTTGTGATCAGTGCGGGAAGAGTTTCTCACACTCATCAAGCCTTAAGGTACACATGAACATTCACACCGGAGAGAAGCAGCACGCATGTGATCAATGCGGCAAAACATTTTTGAGTGCTTCAGGCCTGAAGAAACACCTTAAAGTTCATATAAAGGAGAAGCCACATTCATGCCATTTCTGTGGAAAGAGTTTTTCACGTCTACAAAATTTGAAAGTACATCAGAAAATGCATACTGGTGTGAGAGAGTACATGTGCTTTGAGTGTGAGAAGACTTTTACTTCAGCGAGCAGTTTAAAACTGCATGAGAGGATTCACACTGGAGAGAAACCTTACAAGTGTTCACACTGTGACAAGAGATTCATTGATTCAGGAAATCTGAAAACACATGAGAGGATCCACAATGGAGAGAATCTGTACAAATGTTCACACTGCGACAAGAGATTCAGTCATAAAGGAAATCTGAAAACACACGAGAGGATTCACACTGGAGAGAAACCTTATAAGTGTTCACACTGTGACAAGAGATTCAATCATTCAGGACATCTGAAAACACACAAGAGGATTCACACTACAGAGAAACCTTATAAGTGTTCACACTGTGACAAGAGATTCAGAGATTCAGCAAATCTGAAAACACACGAGAGGATTCACACTGGAGAGAAACCGTATCACTGCACTGCATGTGGGAAGCGTTTCAATCATCCACGTTCTCTACGCAGACATACAAAAAACTATCACAGTAAGTAGATCATCTTCAGATCCAGCACTTTCAGGTCTGATGCTGCGTCCTCACCAAATGTGACACAATAATGCATCGAGCAGTGAAATATCATCTGGATAAATCTGTCATTACAAGTGACATGACAAAGAAACATTATCTAAAGTTTTCACAGTGAATAAAGGTTTATTCTTGTATATCATGTTGCTTCATGATATAAATGACATTAGTGTGCTTTCTTATGGGTTTCATATTATGTTCAATTGTCTTATAATGCATGTGTCACTTGTAGTTTGCTTACTCTTTCATGGAGGAAAGCAGAGGTTTTTACAAACTCAAACTGTTATTGTTCAGGAAGCTGAAGAAGAGACTGTAACACTTTTAAGAGACTGAGATTTATTTTTTATTTTGTTCTTCATTGTGTAAGGCCTCTGCGGAACAGATCCACCAAAAAGCCGCAGAATAAACAAATTCCAAAACCAGATCTAAAGACTCCCCCACATTAGTTCTTAAAGTGACAGCAGCCTGTGGAGCAGTTGTGGCCTAATGGTTAGAAAGTCGGACTTGTAACCCAAAGGTGAGACCCCTGAGCAAGGCACTGAACCCCCAACTGCTCCCCAAGTGCTGCTGCAAAAATGGCGACCGAACAAAGAAAAAAATTAGTGAGCATCGCCTTTTCCACCTATTTTGTTTTCTCGTGTTTTTGACTGTTTTTTTTTTCTGGTTTCTCTATGGATCCCCTCGCCTCGATGTTCACCCCCCTAGCCCGAAAAGACCTGCCGCTCGTGGAGTATACAGTTGAGTTCAGCCAGCTCACCGTTTTAATGACGTTCGACGATGCTGTGCTGAACTCACTGTTCTGGATCGGGGCAAATTACCACTGCCCCGTCGACCTCCCAGACTTGGAGCATCTATCCCCGATCCAGAGCACAGCCAGACCCAGAGCCCAGCCCACTATCTCCCCGCTGTGTGGAGCCCAAGCCCGAGCCCACCGATGATTGAGAGCCCGAGCCATCGTCGAACAGAGCTACAGTGCTGAGGATCGCCGCGGAGCCAGAGCTGCAAGTAATGTCAGACCAGGTGCGAGAGCCGGCTCCAACGCCTGCCACGAGGGAGAATGCCGTGGACAGTAAGAGAGTGGAGAGGAGCTCTGCCCCCTGCACCATGGCTGAGGGTGAGCTTAATGTGGTTCTGGGACTGCTGTACTTAGGAGAGATTTTGAATGTATATGCTGACCTGCCCCCTCTCCTCCCTCCTTCATCGGAGCCCTCTGTCACTCATGTTTCCCCATCCAGCCCGGAAAGAGACTCTGTTCCCGAGCTCAGCCCAGAGAGGGCTCCTGTTCCTGAGTTTAGCCCAGAGAGGGCTTCCGTTCCCAAGTTCGGCCCAGAGAGGGCTTCCGTTTCCAAGATCGGCCCAGAGAGGGGTTCTGTTCCCAAGATCGGCCCAGAGAGGGCTCTTGTTCCCGAATTAGGCCCAGAGAGGGCTTCTGTTCCCGAGTTTAGCCCAGAGAGGGCTCCTG